AAATTTAAGAGGAAATGTTGGTTAATTTTTGTGTGTAGTACCTTTTTGGACCACTAGATGCAGTATAAGACCGTTTGAACCTAAGGATGTATAATGAGGGAGTGAGCAGCGTGTCTCTAAGAAAAATGGGAGGAAGGCCCCTTGACACATGGGCTGTCTCTCCTTCCTTTTTTTCAGTTCTCACAATGGCGGACGCTCGGAGTGGTTTGAGCTCTTTATCATAACATTTTTCACACAAAGCTTTTAATAAAAAAATCATTAAACAAGTTCTCAGCTTCTTTTTGCAGAAAAAAACTACTTTTCACACGAAGGTACGGGTTTCAACCGTGAATTTTGGAGCTTCGAGAAGATGGAGGGGTTTTTTCCCAAGGCTGGCCTGTTAGCTTAGCTCTTAGCTTAGCTTCTCAGCTTAGCTGCTTTTAACGATCCAAAAATGTGATTTTGGACGGTTAAAACTGATTTTAAAGAGAAGAGAGGAAGGGAGGGGTCAGTGAAGAGCTCCGGAGTTGAGCTTTTTGTCATCCAGTGTCTTCAGTAGAAAGAGAGAGACACAAAGAAACGATAAAGCCGATAAATGAAAATGAGGTTGATAATTTTCATTCATCAGGTGATTAATTGATTTATTGTTTATTGCAAAAAGCCTAGCTCAAACCACACCAAGCATCCGCCATTTTGAGAACCGAAGGGAGACAGCCCATGTCATGTCAAGGGGCCTCCCTCCCATTTTTCTTAAAGAGACACGCTGCTCGCTCCCTCACTGTCCATCCTTTGGTTCAAACAGTCTTATACTGCCATCCAGTGGTCAAAAAGAGGCACCACACCTACAAAACAAATTATCCAACATATATGACAATAATTAATAATTATTGTCAAATTTCAAAAAATATTATCGTTTATCGTAATCATTTCTGAGACACTCGCCCTGCAAAAGTTATCGTGACAGGCCTACTCTGGACATTCTTCTTGTTGAAACATTTCGTCTTTTATCAAAAAGACTGTCCGTCCGAGGAGCTGCGATAAACTCAGTCTTATATCCTATTTGTTAAAAAAAAAAAAAAAAAAAAAAAAAAAAAACTGTAGTATGAGTTTTTATAACTGCTTATTGTTGTTGCTGTTGTCCATTGTTGTCATCTTTCTTTGTTGAAATCAGGTCTCTCTTGTAAATGAGTCCTCGAGGCTCAATGGGATTTACCTGTATAAATAAAGGTTGATTGATTATAAATAGCACCTTCTCATATTGGATCAACCAGTTTGATAGTGATATCCAAACCTAGCTGTTCACATGATCAAGGAGGACCATCAGCCTATCAACCGATCGTTAATGCCCTGATGGCCACTTGTTATTCACAGAGGTCTGACTGATACTAGCAATAACAGCATTGTAAGAAGGTGACAATTGGACATGGAGGCCTCCGTCCCCGTTTAATAATGGACAGTTTCTCTTCACCTAGATGTCTTCCGTCACACCTATCTTAAATCGTTCCTCTCTATCAAGGATGTGAACATCTTCATCCCTAAAAGAGTGACTGCTGGACTACAGATGAGTGCAGACCTCAGAGTCCTGGCCTGATGATGCTGCTCTTCTGTGCTGGGCCATCCTTCTGACCAATGGCTGTCTAGTTTCCCCGATGCAGCGGAGAAACTTTCAGCCAACAGGGCATTAACGATCAGTCGTTAGGCTGATGGTCCTTCTTTATCATGTGAACAGCTAGTTCTGGCTGTCACCAGCAAACTAGTTGATCCACTTTGAAAATGGGTTATTTATAAGACTGAGTTTGTTGCAGCTCCTCAGACTAAAGAAGTCTTTTGGACAAAAGACGAACCATTTCAACAATTTTTTTTTTATCTGTCCAGAGGACCCGACTTAACTTTGTAGATTTTTCTACCTGGGTTATCGAGCATGCATATAAGTAACATAAGTAAATTTTAAAATAAAGTGAAGAGACTAAACCTACAACTCAGCTACAATAACTTACTAAACATGATAACGGCAGGTGATACGGCAGAGGTCAAATGTTAAAATAATACCTGACGGTGATGACTATCAGAAACAGAATCCCGACTGGAGACTAAACGGCAGTAAACACTGGCTGCAGTTTGCGAATGTTTCTGCAGAGATTCAGGCGTGTCAGTCATCAGAAACGATTGGTGTTTCTACAGAATCATCAATCTGCGTCAGCTCAGACAGGTTTACTCACATTTTAATATCTACTACCAGCAACTCTTTTGATTTTTCATTTTTTGTTAGTGAAAGAACAAGATTTTTTGCAGCGTCTCACAATCGCAGGAAAATTTCCTCCCAGAGCACAACTTCGACCTCCAAATTATCTAAATTCTCAGAGTTCCTGCATTAAAGTCCCGTTGTGTCCTTGGACCATCTGCAGGGCGATACGGTCTTACAAACACGAAGGCTTGTTGAGTTTCTGGAGAACACTTGATCAGATTCAAGTCTCTTTTGTTGAGAGGAGAGAAGGCTTTTTAACCAGTCAAGCATGTGTGACCCCAGATAAGAGAAAGAGAGGCAGGGAATGAGTTTTCGTGGAGAGATTGGCTGTTCGGGGGCTGCGGCGTGAACATCCAATCTGCTCAAACGGTCACCTCAGAGCCGAGGAGGAGGAGAACAAAAAAAAAAGCTCTGACTAGATCCTGGAAAATATATGAAAGCGAGACGTGGGGACGTGATCCGGGCAGCGGCACATATCCTTTCTGTCTTGTAATGGAAATGTGACATGGTGGAGTGAATCCGTACAAACCTACTGGCTCTGCTGGTGGGACCGAGAACTCATCTCTGTGAGGGGAATGAAGCAAAACCAAGAGTTCCAACACTCTCCTCCAGGAGAAGGAGAAAAACTGTCGTTACAACAAAGACCTGAGACATGAACCAATAAAACTGGGGGCCTTGTTTGACTTAGCTACACTGATATTTGAAAAATAATTTGAAATTCGTGTTTTCTGACACCATCGTCCATTAAGCCACTTTCTTCCACCTCCCTGGGGTTGAGGCACAGAGGCAACAAAACCAGGAGGGAAACCCAGACAGCACCTCCTGAGGGAGGTGTTCCTCCAGCAAGTTCTGTGGGAGGTGATGGACAAACCTCCAGGAGGCGTCATAATCAGATGCCTGCACACCTCAGCTGATGTGGAGGACCAGTAGCTCCTCCCTCATGACGGAGCTCCTCACTCTGTCTCTTCGGCTGAGGTTGCCCCCCCTACATACCTCGCTGTACTTTAAAAATCCATACATCTAAACATTCGGTTTTAAGTGTTTGTAGCTTTTATAAAATTTGAATTATATAAAACAATTTAAAAAATTTCAATCATAAAAATTTGTTGACAACTTTTCAGTTCCAACATAACACTGATCTTCAGAATACTTGCTGTGTTTTGTCTTGAAATGCTACTTTTAGCTTTTAGCTACCGTTTTGGCTGTTTTAGTTTTGAAGACTTTATTTATCCCACAATGGGAAAATTCAGGCATTCTTATTGCAGCTTTTAGCTACAGGTTTGCTAGTTTGAGCTTTTAGCTAGTTTTGCTACTTCAAACTCTTAGATAATGGATTACAAACATTAGCTGTTCCGCTAGGATTTTTATAAGCTTAACTTTTAGCTACAGCTTTGTTTATTTTATCTTTCAGCTACTGGTCTGCTCATTTTAGCTTTTAACTACTGTTTTGTTAATTTTAGCTTCTGTTTTGATCCTTTCAACTTGTTTTCATCATTTCAGCTTTTGTTTGTATCATTTTAGCTTCTATTTAGATCCATTTAGTTTCTGTTTTGATCCTTTCAGCTTCTGTTTTAATCTTTTTAGCTTTTGTTTTGATCATTTTAGCTTCTGTTTTGATCCTTTCAGCTTCTGTTTGGATCCTTTCAGCTTCTGTTTTGATCCTTTCAGTTTCTGTTTTGATTTTTTGAGCTTCTGTTTTGATCCTTTCAGCTTTTGTTTGGATCCTTTCAGCTTCTTTTTTGATCCTTTCAGTTTCTGTTTTGAGCATTAGAGCTTCTGTTTTGATCCCTTCAGCTTTTGTTTGGATCTTTTTAGCTTATGTTTTGATCCATTTAGCTTCTGTTTTGATCCTTCCAGTTTCTGTTTTGATCTTTTTAGCTTCTGTTTTGATCTTTTCAGCTTCTGTTTTGATCTTTTCAGGTTCTGTTTTGATAGTAGCTATTGTTTGAATCTTTTTAGCTTCTTTTCTCTTCGTTTTTACGTTAACATCCCAGTTTCAGCTGTAAAATTTTTATCACAGAAACAACATTGTCTCTAGTTAATAGATACTTTATATCCATGGGTTTAATGTTAAATAAAGGTAAATAAATAAAATAAAAAATATGGTTTATTGAAAACTGGGTTTTTCAACTATTCCCATTTTAGAATTACTCAGATTAAAACTTTCAGATTTCTCAGTCAATGTTTTTCTATGATTGTGCAGAAATCGTGGCAGATTCTGGGCTTGAGTCAGAAGAACGCAGAATACTTGACGCTACAGCGTGCGCTCTCAGGACATTATTACCTGCAGTGTCCCCTCAGTGCGGACTGAACTTGTCAAAAGGGCCTTCTCCTACTCCGCTCCTGTTTCCTGGAATATCTTGCAAAAAAATCTGAAGCGCTCGACCTTGACCTCTCTAAGTGGCTTTAAGAATCTGTTGGACTCCTGGAAAAAACCAACGCAGACATGTTCCTGTTTTTAGTTTTCTACATTCGCCTTATGCTCCAGCTGGTTTTGCTACTTTTTTTGGCATCTTATTTTAATTTGTAAAAAAAAAAAAAAATCTGTATGCCTTTTTATATTTGTCTATTGTTGTCGCTGTTGTTCATTGTTGTCATCATTCTTTGTTGAAATCAGGTCTCTCTTGTAAATGAGTCCTCGAGGCTCAATGGAATTAACCTGTTTAAATAAAGGTTGAATGAATTTGACCTTCCATGTTTGTTAACATGTTTCAGGTGCTTGAAGTCTAAAGACTCCATGTCTGTTTTAACATCATCATCATCACTCGCCACTCACCTCGGTCCGTGTCGTACAGGAAGACAAAATTGTTCCAGTCGTAGTGGTCGAGGAGGGACAGCAGCGCCCCCCGGATGGACGGCCGCATCTGCAGCGTGAACTGGCTCTCGCCCTCGGTGGGGAAGCTGGGCGTGATGAGGGAGATGTGCAGGGCGCTGCAGAAGGACGTCAACGTGTGGACCGAGCGCTTGTCGTACAGGCCGAAGATGGCGAAGACACCGCGGGAGTACTGGGAGCAAACTGAGGAAGAAAACAGCAACGTATTAATAAAACAATAACTCGGAACAAATGTTTTAGTGAAGAGTACTGTTAGAAAATGTCGCCTCATCACAGCTTTACAGGTCCTAAAAATCAAACGCTTTTGGCTTGTGATGAATGTTTTAATTAGTTTTAAGAGTAAAATCGTACAAACCAGTGATTCCAAAATTTTAATTAGCAAATGATTTTGAGTCCAGCTGTTTCTGATTTAAACACATAAAAACTGTTATCAGCCCAATTAAACCGGTTCATATTACAAATGTGTTCAAATGGAACAATATGGTGAAAATATGCCGTGAGGAAACCGGCAGATGATTTAAGACCCTCACTAGGTGTTTTGTGACTCACATTGGGGTCCCGACTACCACTTTGAGAACCCCTCATGTAAACAACATGCAGTTGAATAAGGATATGTATAAGAAACTATTAATGATTAAACATCAAAGTTTATGCTCAATAATCCAGGTAAAAAAAATCCAACAAAATTAAGTCAGGTCCTCTGGACGGTTTCTGTTTTGTTGGTGTTGTTGAAATCCAAACCATCAAACTGGTTGGTCAACTATGTGTGCGCTGCTTGTGGGACTGAGTTTGTTGAGGCTCCTCGGACTGATGAAGTCCTTTGGATGAAGGACGAAACATCTCAACAACAACAAAAAGAAACCGTCCAGATGGACTGACTGAACATTGTTGGATTAAGGTTTCGACACTACTTTGTCTCTAATATTGACACTTTAGTGCCAAAACTTTGCACAAAAAAGGCTCAAAACTAAACAAAGATACTAAATCATCTATCTGTCATAAAACGTACACATTTTAAACTTTTAGCAGAGTTTGTCCCTAAAATTAATTGAAAACAAATAAAAAATAAATGTAAATCATAATTCTTGAATTTGCATCACTTTTATTTTACAGCAGAAAAATTACTTTTTATGATGGACAGGAGAAATTTCTTGTGTGAGATGTGAGTTTAAACCTTTGCTGGTAATGCTGCCAAGTCTGTCTGTTAACAAAATATCTCATGAACCGATGAATAGATTTTCAAGAAAATTTCAGAAGGTAAGCACTGGGTGTACAACTATATGTGAATAACTTTTGGTGCCAATCTAAGATGGCCGCTACAGTCAGTTGATCTTAGGAAACACAAAAATGCTACAACTCAGTCAGTTTTACAGATATTGTGTTATATCTTGGTGTGATAGTAGCTGAGAATCATCCTCAACACAAACTTTGAGCACATCTCACAAGATTTAGCAGGATTAGATTTTCAAAAACAAATACAGCATAAGACGATCGCACAAAAGGCGGAGGGTGAGATGAAATCTCCCGTATTCAAACGCACAAACAGGAAGTGAGCCTTCGGTTTGTTTTAGGCCCCGTTTACATGAGAACAACTTCCAGAAATATGTGTTTTTTCAATGTTTATTGAGGTCAATAAACAAAAAAAGAGAAGTTTTACACAAAAATGCTGTTTACATGCCCGTCGGGTTGCCAGATAAGAAATTATGAACTATAGTACTGCAGCTTTAAAATAGTATTTTGACCTAAACTGTCGTATGTGCTGAGTAAAAATGTTCTAAGATGAGGTGTGCGTTGTGTTTGTTGAACATGTGTACAGAAAAGGAGGGGGTACATTAGACATTCTAAATTTATCTGGCAACCCTCATGCCAGGCTCAGCTTGATTCATTGCACATGACAGTTACGTCCAAACTGGTGAATACACCGACGTCTCTTTGGACCCTGGATTTTATTAGTTTTGCTCCTTCATGCTGAAAAAGGGTGAGTAGCACAAAAACACTGCTCTCTGCCGTTTATTATAACTGTTGTTAGTGCAGGACAACTTTGGACTGCAGCCGCCTGTAGTGTCCGAGCATGACACACCTCTGTGGGGGGTTCCCCTGAAAATCTCCACTCTGAGACCTGGATTAAGAAACCTTTGGCTTCAGAGAGAACGAGGGCTGTTGTCGTGGGAATGAACGGCCGAGCCAAAAAAGGCGCTGTGTAAACGGGGCCTTAGATACGCAGAGCCACCGAGCGGTTGATACGAGTCGTCGTCTCCACAACTGATTGCTGGAGAAACGAACAGCAAAATAAATCAAGGAGGCAATAAGTGATTAGCACCACGGCAGAAAACAACACACACCATTATCCCTCTGATTGCCACTTTGAATCATCAGAAGAGACGCTCTGAAAGCAGCAGAAAGGGATCAAAACCAAAACAGTTCCCTCGGATGCTTTCACAATAAAAGCTGTTCTCCTCCCTCACTTTAACAACGTTTCCTAACGGCGCTCTGACGCCTCCCTCTCATCGTGTTTGGCTTTTAGGGGACACATTATAAACAGAGCGCTTTGTGTTCACGCAGAAAGGCTTCACATTTCAAACCAACAGATCAAATCTGTTCGTTGTGTTGTTTTGGCGGTCGCACTTTGAATTAAGCAGAAACCCACATTTGCATAAAGTCTACACTCACACAGTCTGTCCTGCTTGAGGAGATCTTCTCATTATAAAAAGGTTTGGCTCTCCACACGAGCCCAACTATAATTGCCCACTTTTTTCCCCCGTCTTAGCACAGAGAACAACAACAAAAAGAGACGATAATGAGCGTCCTCTGCCAGTCTCGCGGACACGAGCAGAAGCAGAATGAGCGACAGAAGAGCTCAAGATGTTCCTGGTGTGAAAAGAAACCAGAGAGGGGTGGAGGTAAACAAGAGAGCTGTTTTACTGACAAACTCATTGTTTAAATGTTGAGTGCAGCTCTCTGCTGTAAGACACAAAGAGACACGAGTCACTGTCTTCTCCGTGAGACAAACAAGACAACAGTCAGAGGAAAACAACTCTGTTCACAAACAATTAAGACAAATCAAGACGCTGAGGCGACGATAGGACAAATCAGGACCGAACAGGGCACTCGTGTGGAAAAGCTGGACTTGTGTGTATTTTTTAGTTCAAATTACAGCTAAAATAAAGTTTCAGCAATAAAAATAAATATATTGATCTTGTATTTGTGGATTTTATGTCAAAATTAAGAGGAAATTAGGTGAAGTAGGTACCAGAAACCCAGTATTGAAGGAACTGAACTCCACCTTTTCCTGTTTCACATCAGAGGGTCAGTTTTCAACTAAATATCAAAATAATCCAAAACTGTTTTTGTTCGTGTCTGTGGTCGAGTATCTGTCTTTACCAAAATATCTCCTGAACCACTAACCCTTTCGCAAAGGATGTAAGCTACGTGACCACCTACAACCGAGTGTATGCTGAAGTTGATCACAGAGTGGTTTACCTCACGATTAAGGGTCAAATCTTTTATAAACTAAAGCAAACAAAGGTTCACAATTCAGTTTGAGTGGCGGCACTTTCTTCAAACATTCCCATGAAGTGACGCTCCATGTGTCCGAGCAGAACTAAGCTCTATCTGAAGGTCACGCTCCTGGAGACAGGGCGATAGAGAAACAGTAGAACGCCAAATGGCAAACAATGAGCGATTCATTAAAAATAATTGCCTCCGCTTATAAAACTGAATCTATCGTGAGTCTGAACGGCCTGTCCTGCGTCCGCCTGCCGGTCTGCGCCGATCAAAGAGACGACCGGCAGGAGCTAAACTCCTTCAGCAACATGACAAATGGATCGTCTTTTAGCTGACACAAACAGTTACTTAAGTCAATGTTGGTAATTTACTCTTGATTTTACGGCTTTTTATCTTTCTGTATGCTTTTACAGTCTTATCGCTTCTGCAGACTTTGTGCATCAGCTGTTCACACATCCAAACTTTCGGCTCATTCAGAAGATGGATGTCACTTCCTTTTCAACATTTATAGCTAAAATCTTGTTTAAAATAATTGAAACCAATCGATTTATTTACAAACATTTGCTCACAGCAATACATTAAACTCTCCTAATTATTCCAAACAATGTTTTCTCTGAAATCTGCTTTAGCGTACACGCTCCGTTTCCAGTTTAATTTATTTTGCAACTTTTAGTAGCTACCATTTTGCTACTTTAAGCTTTTATTTAATTTATTTTTTGCTACGTTCAGAAAGCTTTTTGCTACCATTTACATTTAATTACCTTTTTGATACTTTAGCTTTTCACAAAAAAAGTAGCTACATTTTTGCTACTTTTAGTGTTTAGCAAACATTTTGCAGCTGTTAGCTACCACTCTTCTACTTTTAGTTTCTAGATAGCCTCTTGCTACTTGTAACTTTTAGCTAATCTTTGACTAGTTTCAGCAAGGTTTTTGCTTCTTTTTGCTTTTCGTTTTTGATCCCTTAGGTTTTAGATCCAACTACTTTGAGCGTTTAGCTAATCTTTTGCTGCACCTACCTAATGTTCAGCTACTTTTAACTTTTACATAACATATTGTGGCTTTAAGCCCTTAGCTAATCTTGTACTACTTTCAGCTAGCATTGTGCTACTTTTCACATTTAGTTACCTTATTGCTACCTTAGCACTGAGCTAATATTTTGCAGCTTTTAGCTACCATTCTGCTACTTTTAGCTTCTAGGAAGTCTCTTGCTGTTTTTGATTTAGTTATTTATTTGCGACTTGCTGTCACAAAAGGCTGGTGCTCGTGAACCCAGCGGTGCAAGCAAGCAGGCGAAGACTCAGGATGATTATAGAAACTAAAGAATTTATTAACACCGCAAAAGAACTGACAGGGCAGCAAAACAAACATAGAATGATCGGGGTACTCACGATACAGACAGGTCATCACCAGTGAACAGAAGACGATGCCAGGACATGGAGTGAGACAAACACACAGGCTTAAATACAGCAAACACCAATTAGACAAAGTGAAGACACCTGTGAGTAATCACAGATGCCAAAGACAGAGACTGACGACACAAGACATAAACATGACACAAGATGGAGTTAGATACTAAAAAAACACAAACCCTATAAAAATAGAAACAGAGGAGAAGGGGAACGCAGACAAACACAACACCAGACGGGGCTAGACAACAGGGACTAAACCACAACTCCTAC